TAAAATTAAAAACTATCTAAATTTCAAAAATTATGACACTTATAGAGGAAATTTTCTTCCTAACGCGAGGTCACCCCCCCCCAGTCTCTCTTCTCCTTAAGTTTGTCGCGGTACTTATTTGTGGCCCTGTACATGCATACACACGTACATGGTACATTTAAGTTCTACATATGTCCGTAGTAATCTATAAATTTCGAGAGTACATACAATATTTAGCTACCATTATGACGGTTATGACGCTGTAGACAAAAGTCAAACAACCTTACCCCTTTTCCCTTCAATGTAAATCAGCGCATCTGTAAAGGTTTGAAGTGGCGAACGAATCGTGGTTGATTAAGTCCATCAAAAAATTCCTATGCGCATAACTGCACTTTGTGTCCTATATGTCTACCATGTATATTAGGGTGCATCACTCTCCATATAAAATAATAGCGGTACTGTTTTGCCACCTGAATTTAAAAATTTTATGAAATTATAACTAAAGCAGCCGCCAAATATTAAAAAAAAAATATTAAGATATACGTGCGCTGAACCGATTTGAAAATAGCGTAAAAAATCGAGTTTTTGATAAATACAATTATTTTTAAATATATTTTTCGAAAAATCATCTCAGAATATAGAAGAGTTTAAGTTTACAAAATCTGCTTAAAAATGTTTAAAAATTGGATCAATTGGAACTGGATTGCATCTAAATAACGAGATTTTTGGAGATATTTTTATATCGGCCTAGTTCACGAAAATCTTAACATTTTCCCAAATATTTTGGCGGAAATCTTAAAATGTAATACATTTTATAATTTCTATGGAAAAACATCAATTTTCTTTTTCGTGCGGCACCCTAATGTAGATATATATTTACACTTAAAAAAAAGTATGGAGAGATATACAAGTTTGTGTACAAAAAATATATTTACATGTATGTAGGAACTCGTAGCCAACTGTGAGATACCGTTTGAAAATGCGCCCGCTTTTAATTGCATCGCCTACTCGGGTGCAATCGGCAGAATGCAAATGCAGCTGTCTTGCAAATTTTGATGTTGCTTACCTTATGCCACTAAGCGTGAAATTAATTACGGTAAATGTGTGCACATAAATTTGCCTCATGCACTTGTGTGTATTTTATCCAACGAAATTTCTTATAATTTATAGTAGTTGGTGAATGACTTTTATTTTCTATGATTTATTAAATGAATTTTTAAGAAAAATTATCAAGCACCGTCTGTTATGTGATTTTTGAAAACTTCAACACCTGTTCGTTGCATTTTTCATAGAATATTTTTTTTTTGTGTATAGGACCACTAATCATCTCGCATAGACCCCTTCAACTGAGGCGACTTCTTACCAGGTCTGCAAACCGCCATAAAAATGTATGTGGTTAGAGAAAAAAACGTGTACCGCTGAAGAAGCCAGTGCATAAAACAGCACTCAAACTATAGATGAAATTTGCGGTCTAAGCTTGATTTTAACAATTTGTACGCCTTTTGGTCGCCAATTCCCTTCAGTGTAGAAAACAAAGCGAAGCAAATGTGGCTAAGTCGCGGGGGAGGAGTAGTTGCCCGCCATGTTTCACAGTGGTGAGTTAACCGCCGGTTTTGGCTAGCATATTAGCCCGTTCACTCCCTGCGCTTCCTTTGTTGTGTACTAGCACCCAGTTCAAAAGCGACTCGGTTATTAACGCAGAGTTCGTCTATCCTATTCCCGCATTGTACTGCTTTAATGGCTGTCTGGCGGTCGATTAAAATATTTACATACATATATATAGTATAAATTGTTCGAAGTTAGAGCTGTTATGGGCACGGCTGCAGTGTCTAGCCGCACCACTCTTAACCTGTTATAAATATCTTCCAATGTTCTCTAGCGTATTTTATTTCAAGTTAATCAACCAGTGGCTAGATCATCAACAGAAGCTCTTGATCAAAGAGCTTCCCCACTCATTTGTGGTAATATCTCGTTGATGAGGAGTGCCTAAATCCCTTCCTATCTAGGCTACTGCTGAATACTTGATAAAATTTTCATCTAAAGTAAATACGCTTAACCGTACTTTGGTTAAAATCCACTTTTGAGTACATATTTTGAACATTTATTAATTCAAATAATAAAATTTTTTTTTTCGAGGCACTCTTAACCACCGATTACACATGCCCTCAATTAAAGCTTGAGCTTTAGAAATTTCAAGTGATAACATCCTTTAGCAAGAGATTAAAAAAAAAAAACAGGTCACGATACAATTGCTGCTTAGCAATATGTTATCATGATCAGTTTTGAAGTATCATATTATAAAACAGACAGAATTAAATGGCAATTAATTGAATGTGCGATCAAATAACAAAATGGCCTTATTTTCGCATTGTCCTTAGTAGTCAGCAAAATAACAAAATAATTGCGAGGTTGTTAATATAAATTGTTCTTGAAACTGCATTTGATTGTTTTCATATACATATGCAATTTTATCAACATACATACCTACAAATGCATACTCTTTCATATGTGTGAGTATTTTCCAGTATCTAAGTACATAAGTATAAACCACTTATAAGCAAATTATTTCATGAGCCTTTCAATTCAATAATACAATAATTTGCGTAAACGGAAACAAATACTTACAAAACACGCACATTCACAAAAATACATAGCATAGATGAGTAGATGTTTGGTTGGACAGACAGACAGATAATCATTTAAAGTGCCATTGTAATGTAATTGAATATGAAAATGTTCAGATAATTTGGAACCCCTTTAGCATGAGTACTATTACATAATATTTTTCATTGGACGTCTGCCTAGCTGAGCTAATAGCGCATGCCTCGCTTTCCCCCTTTTTTTTATGTACATACCCTGCAGAAAAAAATTATCAATTGATAAAAAATAACCCACTTTTAGTCAGCTTTTTTGCGAGATTTCTATAAAATATATAACTTGTAGTTAGCTACAAAAAGCTAACTTGAAACTAGTTGACGAGTAATGCAGGAGATTGTTTTCTTTAAACGCGTTTCTATTTAAATATCCTGCACTTCGCAAATACTTTTTCGAATTGAGGACAAATAAAAAGAAGATCGAAATTTCATATTATCATTTTGAAGTTATGTCTGACGGAGTTCGAATATGGGACCACCTACAGCAGAATATGTAAACAAATATGAAATGTAATAAAAAAAATAAATAAAAAATGAGAAAAAAATTTGTTTTTCCTATTGATATTTATTGTCCAAAAGTAGTTAGTTGCAAGTTAGTTACCTCAAATGCAGAGTTAACCACCCTTGACTATTTCGCGGCAATCGCCATAGAAATATAATTAGCTAATAGTTAGATATATTTCCTGCAGGGTATTTACGTGCTATTAATGGGCTATTACATATCGCATAAATAAATATAGTTAACAGTTTATTTGACTTGTTTTTGTAAATTGAGATTAAATACTTATTTGGAAAATAAAAATAAAAAACAAATGATATATAAATTGCCGATGTATACGTTTGTATGTATGTATGTATATATGTAGTTAGTTGGAGTTGCATGACGGCACTTTAATATGAAATTAAATACTAAAATTTTAATTAAATACGACAACAACAACCGCAACTATAGAACCGACCACAGCACTGCACAGTAGCTACTCAATTTCACTGGAAGCATTGCACATCTCACTGACAGTTCATAACAAACATATCGAGCAAGCGAGACTTAGGATGCAACCAACTGCTCGTTTAGAGGCATTTGTGTTGACAGCACTGAGTCTACATGGCAGATACGTTGTAAGTCGTGTCTATAGGTGACATCGCATCTCATATTTCACACGCAGCTATTCCACGTACATACGTATGTATATACAAATTTACAGACGTAATATGGAAATTGCATCAAAGTAGAAGTGGCATTTTTTGACAAGTTTGACTGTAGAAAAAAATTAATGTGTGCTCCTTATTGCAAACTGGAACGTAATGCCGTTGTGTAGTCGGGATGTAGGATGTGCACGTACATATGTATGTATGTATGAACATAAGTGCGCAAGCGTGCTAGCTGATCTCTTAACCTAGAAGTAGTATGCAATTATCAAACATTGTAATCACGTTTCAGTTAGGTAAGCAAAATTCAAGCAAGCATATGCATTTTAATCGAATTAAATAAGTGAAATAGAATGCAAAGAAATAAGTATGTAAATACATATATAATTAAATTGAAAAAAAAAATAAATAAATAATGCCACAAAAGCTGCTGGCGAAACACAATCAGAATAAATACGATTTCAGAATCTCAAATCGACAGAAATTACCCAACTTTTTCAACATTTTGTAGCGGATGCTAATAAGCGTTTTGTTTTTTTGCCGGTCCATCCAAATGTTTTATATTATTATTCATAACGTGTCTGTTGACTGTACAAATAAAACATAAAATAATTCGGCTGCTAAAAAATTATGTAATCCCAAATAAGTAGATCCATAAAAAAGTAATAATTTTAATTTTAATTATTATTTTTCGGGTTTTTGATTGAGTTTGATAGCATTAATATATAGAACCCTATCAGCAATAAAAGGCTGTAAAAATAATTTGCATTTACCGGTTTGAACTCGTTCCTAACATTATAATTCAAACTCACAACAATATTTATGCATGTATGTTCGTACACATTTTTAACAGAGAACGTGTTCACCTCAAATCCGATGTATGTACAAACATATGGCACGTTTAATAATAATAATAATAATAATAATGTAACGTTCAAAACTAGCAAATACCCGGCATGCAGCACCGCGCCTTAAAAGTATTTTAGTATTGTTTAATATCCGTATTGTAATATTTCATTTATTTTATCAATTTAATTGAATACAATTTTTCAAACTTCAATTGCCAACTTTCCACAAGAATATCTTCGGCTGTAAGCCTTGTTAAACCTCTTTCTTCGGACAGCCATATTGCTTTATTACTTTTTCTTTTCAATTTACGTAAACTGCAGTTTTCAAACAGGTGGTAACTCTCTAATTTTTTTCTTTCTATATCTTAAGTTGGATCTCTAGAAATACATCATCAGTGAATACCGCAGAAAGGCGGAACTAAGCGAAGCTGCTGGTGTTCACACCGAACGAAGCGAAGCGGTGCTTTTCTCATGGACTCGGCTGCAAAGATATCAAAAAGCTTACCGTCAATGAAAAGCGGCAAAAATATTTGCTAAATTTTATTCAAAAGATTTGTGGTAAAATTTCGTTTCTATTTGAATATTTTAACAACTTGTTTGCAACACCGTCATGAAACTGAAAAATTAACAAGAAAATTCAAAATCAAAAACTGCTTGGCTTTCAGCTCCAAAACGCTTCTGAAAAGGCTTGCTGTATGAGCACTTTCATATAGCTACAACAATTTGAAAGCTTCAATCAGCTCGGAACGGCTTCGCTCGGTTCGGCTACGCTTTCTGTGTGAACGTACCCTTACTCAAATACGAGTTGTTACTCATACGCCCTGGCATAAAAGTTACTTCATACAGTTGTATATGGTAATAAAATATTGAAATCTAATCTCATATCTAAACTATCGCAGTATATACATACATATATACGTTATGGAATGATATACAAATAAATGAATGATTCCTACTAAATACTAATAATATATATATCCCTGAAGTATGAAAATAATCGTTAAATATTGATATTAGAATATGNGAATGATTCCTACTAAATACTAATAATATATATATCCCTGAAGTATGAAAATAATCGTTAAATATTGATATTAGAATATGCAACTACTTAAATGTATATCGACGGCTGAGTGGAAGATCGACCTATCTCGGCTGCCAGTTCGA